AATATTAACCAGGTAAATTGAAAGGGATCTGCAAGTTCCAGTCTAAATTGACGAGAAATGACATCTCTGCCCTTTTTAAAGTAAAATTCTGGAACTCCGAGAATAAAGGGAAAATCTTGTAAGGGAAGATCTTTCTGAGCAGAAAGAGCAAATTACCTATAAAAGACAAAAACAAGCAGATTGGCACTGAACTTCTCACCTGCAACAGTAGCTGGACGCCCAAGGAGCCACATCTACATACTGTGAAGAAGAAAAGGCTAAAACCCCACGGTCCTATTCCAGCTGAGACATAATTTACCTGTCAAGACAAAAAATAAATAAATGATGTAAGGGTATGCAAACACTCTGGGAGTGTGTAGCCTCACTTAAGATACTAGATGAACACCAGACGAACCAGATCAGAAGGAAAGAGAGAAAGGAGAGAAAGTGTTGATGAACCAAAGAAAAAGATTTAAAAGCAAGGGGGATGGAAGGTATAGGAGGAAGCACTTGACAGCAGGCTATAACTAAAGGGGGAGTTATTTCAGTCAAAAATAAAAGGAGGGAGAGGAAGCCAAAGGAAAGTAAAAAATACTCAAAAATCTCCCTTTGTCGGGATGAGAGAGGATACAGAGAACGTTGAAGAAGGAGTGTCTCTTACTCCAAATGTGACCAGCTGAATTATCTTATTAAAAGTAGAGATGATCCAATTGGGCTTAAAAAAAAGGAAGAAAATTAGCAACAAGTTGTTTACATGAAATGAAATAAAATGAAGTGATAATAAAAGGTTGAATTTAAAGGGGTGAGAATAGTGATAAGAGGTGAGTAAGAGATGTCTGGGAAAGGGAACAGGAACATCAGATGAGGCATCTTCAAGGTCAAAAGCTCTGAACAGTCAGAGAGACGTTGACCTGCCAAGGTGTAAAACATAACTAACTACATAAAACAGGAGTGTCTTAACAATTAGATTTAAAATGAACTTAAATTGTACATACCAGGGAGACAAAGAATGATATAAAAAATTAATAGAAACAATGAGCTGAGTTTAATAAATATAGACAATCTTTTACCTGTCAAATAGAATTTTTCACACATTCTCATATACAAAAGCCTATTGCAAAGGGAGTATTTGTGTTAAAAAAAATTGGGAAAAGAACAAAATGTTAAGAAGGAATTAATAAGGACTGAAATTAATAGAAAACAAAAACAGAATAATCCATCCCTACCTTAATGTAGAAGAGAGAGAACAAAAACAGACAAAATGTAGAATAAGAAAGAAACTACTACTGCAGATACAGGAGGATGAAAATAGCTGGAATTAAATACTACCTTGCAACTCTGGGTGGCAGATTTTAAAACCTTAAGAAATAGGTGATTGTTTATGAAATGCAAAAGAAAAGAATAGTACCTAACTTTAGAAAAAGGAAACTTGAAATAGAACAATTTGTCATGGAAGGGATTTTTTGTTTTGTTTTGTTTTGTTTTTAGATTGAAGAACTGTCATAAAAATATGTACATCTGAATTTTATCAAGGCTTCAAAATACAGATAATTTTAATATTATTTGAACTATCCCAAACCATGCAGGGGGTATATAGCTCCTTTGTTTTAAAGAGCCAGTATAATTATAACTATAAAAACTGGTTTAAAATAATATTTTAAAAAAAACTATAGACTAATCTAATCAATGAATACAGAAGCAAAATTCTAAACACAATATTAAGAGTCCAGCAATGTATCTGAATGCTCAAACAGGAAACACATTCCTAGGATGCAATGATGTTATTCATAACTCCAAC